CCTGTTGATCACGAGCCGCCCGTCGTAACTCAGGGACGCAAAGAGCCAGGGGTCGGCGGAGGACCAGTCCACGGCGTACACGCTGTCCTCGTGCTCCTCGTACGTGGCGATGACGCCGTCCTGCGGGGGCTCCTGACTCCTGGGGGGACCAGAGACACGTCTGAGCGAGCCAAGGCCCCAGCTTCTCGCCTGCGCGATGGGAGGGAGGAGCGCGGGGACCGCGGGAGCACGTGGAGCCCACGTTAGCCCGACAGCGCCTGTCCCTGCGGCCTGGACGGTAGGCGCTGGCGTGATCAGCGAGGGGCCCCTGGTTCGGGGGGTAACAGGGAACCGTCCCCGGGGGATGGAACGACGCCATCAAAATGAGGAGGAGGCGCTGCCTGTGAGGTTGAGCAGAGGGACCTGGGCGGGGCCAGCGCAGCGTGGTCCTGGCCGGGGGGCGGTGCCCGCTCGGGGTCTCCTCCCTTTTCGCTCTCCTTCCCGGGAAGCCTGCCCGGATGGCACAGGGCGCCATGTGTGTGAGCCCCCGTCCCGGGCTCACTACCCCGGCTGCAGCGGGGCTCCCCAGCCACGTGCCGGAGGCCGCAGCCTGGCCCGGCCCGGCGGTGCCGGTCGGAAAGGCAGCTCCTACTTGTCCTCCGGGCGGCGCTCCTCCTGGTCGCTCAGGTCGTCGTCGTCCACCAGGTGGCCGAAGGGCTCGGAGGAGATGGACACCATGTTGGAGAGGATGACCCTGCTGTCGCTGCTGCCCGTGAGGACCAGCTGGTCGTGCGAGTGGTTATAGCGGACGTTCCACACCCTGGGGGCAGGGAGACGGCGCTCACAGGGCTGGGCCCCTGGACAGGGAGCAGGGGTCGCCGGCACCCACCCCGAGCTGCCCGGGCTGACGCTGGGCAGTGTCCCCCGGTGGGCAGGCTTAGCGTGTTTCTCTGAAACCGCCTCGTCCCGACTCCCAGCAGCAGAGACGGGGCAGTGGCGGCACGAGCCTCCGCGGGGGAGGCTGGCGGCCGGTGCTGCAGACAGAAGCCGCGCCCGGGCACCCCGAGCAGCAGCCTAGAGGGTGAGCGCGGGGCCTGGGGCACACACCCAGGGAGCACAGAGGGCTGAGCGCCCGCCGGCCGAGTGGCAGTGGAGAGGGCCCGCCCGCCCGCCCGCCCACCCGCACACATGCCCTGTAGCCGCAGGGCCGGCGCTTCTGCCCGCACAGCGGTGATTACCGAACCTGGTAAAACTGTGCAGAGCGTCTGGGCTTTTAAATTTCTAGCTGCAGGACAACAGCTCTGGTAAGTAATTCCAAGAACTCGGGGAGACCACAGCGAGCCCCCTCGGCGACACGGGCCAGCCTAGGTGAGGCCCCCGACAGCACTGGGCTCTCACTATCCCACACACTCCCACTGTGCACACATGTGCATGCAGGCACACACGTGCACAAGCGTGCACACACACGCTTTAACAAAAACCGCTCCTCCTACGCACTGTGCTGCAGCTGATTTCACCTACTCGGCCGGCGCACCGTGGCCCACATTCCCACTGCGTTTCCGAGGCAGGACGCTGGGCGCGGTGTGCAGTGCCCGCAGCCATGCCCTGTCCAGGGGCACTGACCCGCCTGGCCCCGCGGCCAGCACGTGAGCATCTGAGCACACTCCTCTCTGACGTCTGAGCCAGCGCCTCCCTCCTTCCCCGCGCTCCCACCTCACAGACACTCCGACCGGAATGAGTGTTTCTTTAGGAAAAATGAACCGGCCTGACTGGCTGACTCACAGCAGCACACGCTGAGCTGTGAGCCTCTCCGAGTGGCGAGGTTGTCAGCACAACGAACTACACCCACCCCCCCACCCCCACCCACACCCACACCCCCCGCACGTGGGCCTACCAGTGCGAGTGCTCCTCCAGGCTCCTCACGGGCTCCGTGACGTTGCGCGTGTCCCAGAACTTGACCTTGCAGTCGTCCCCGCAGGTGGCCAGGTAGTACTGCTTGTTGGGGTTGAAGTCCAGGTCCCGCACCAGCTGCCCGTGGGCGTTCTCCATGCAGTAGATCTGCCTGAGGGGGAGACGCTTGAGCGTGAGGCGGGGGGCGGCCTGGAGCCAGGCCCCGGGCACCCAGCGGGGCTCCCGCTCCAGGAGGACAGGGAGCCGGCGCCCACCTCAGCGCCCCCACCGCGGTGATGCGGCTGCGGCCTCTCCAGCAGACCCTGGGGAAGGAAGGCTGGTCTGGCTGTCAGATGGCACAGGTCCCTGGGGAACAAGAGGGGCAGAGGGCCTGCGTCTGCCATGGAGGACACGGGGGACGTGTCTGGGAAGCATGAGGTGAGGACAGGACGGGGGACGCAGAGCACTGCTGGCACCGGGAGAGTCGGGGAAGGGGAGCGAGGGAAGAGCTGCCGCAGACGGGGGGCAGCTGGCTGTGGCCGGGATGCTGTCACCAGGGTTGGGGTCGACTCACCCCACGCGGGGCCCAACACCGCAGGCACCTTCGCCAGGTCCCTGCGGCCCACCCGCCCTGCACCCGGCAGCCAAGGGCGGAGACGTGCAAATGTGCACACACCTGGCGCCGCCCTAGGCTGCTCTTCACAGGGTCTGAAACCAAAACCACTGTCCCATCCAGCCCTGCCTGTGCGTCCTTCCTGCCCACACTGCCCGCTGCACTCTCGGCCGCAGCTGTGACCTGTCCCACCATCAGGCCCATCACCCGTGGCCTCCAGGGGGCGGCGAACACCACGCAGCTGCCGACCACCAGGGCGCCACGTGTCTGTGCTCCAGGGCAGCCCTCGGTCCCTGTCACCTCATCCTCCGGTGGATCCCCGGCCCTGAGCCACGTTTAAGTCTGGAGCCGTGTTTATATTCTGCGCCCTCCCCGGGTGCCAATATGTTTTCCTAAAATACCATGTCCTACACCCGAGGCTCTTCCCGTGAGAGAGGGGACGTAGGAAACAGGACCTGGGACTGGGGGCCGTCGCGCTGCGGGGGAACCGGGTTCAGGACAAAGCACAGCACAGTGGACAGCAAGCACCGAAAGCGCCGGCGCGACAGAAGCTGGAGCATCTGCAGAGAGCGACGCGAGCGGAGCCCTCAGCCACTCAGGGACCCGAAGAGCCGACCTGCGGAGGCGGGAGCTGCGGGGTGACGCCCCCAAACCACAGCCGCCAGGTCTGCGTGGGGTCTGCCCGTCGCTCCACGAGCCTCCTGCCTCCGGACACTGCAGCTCTGCTCCCCTTTCCAGAACGGTGGCCCGAGGAGGAGGCAGTGTGGGGCCTGGGTGGGGTCAGCACACCGACCCTGTGGACAGAGGGCAGCCGCCTCCTTGCCGGGTCTGCGGGGGCCTCGGGACTCAGCTTGAAGCCCCGGAAGGCAAGCCCAGTCACTCGGTGACACCGTCCTCACAGCTCAGTGATAAACGACGTGTGCTGAGGGGACAGGCTGCATCTCACAGAGGCTGGCAGGGCTCGTTGCCATGACAACAGACAAGGCTCCATCGCTCGCTGGCCTATCGGACCCCACCTGGAACAGAAACCGCTCCTCCCTGTCCCCCAGCACTGCAGGCTGCACCTCACGAGGGAGACGACAATCTGTCACCGACAGCACAGAGATGGTGGCAACCAACCCGCCACCAGGGGCCACGACTGTCCCCCGTGGTCCCCACCCCTGGGGACAGGAGCAGGCGGTGTCCCAGGAGCCCATCTCCATCTCATCAACAGCCAGGGCTGAGGGGCCCCCGCGGAGCCCTGAACAGCCAGCGGAGCCCCCGCGGCCACGGCCACGACACACCAGCCATGATGGGAGGAGACAAAACGCGACGCAGACAGACAAGCCACGTGCCCCCACACCCGTCTGCTCCGGGCGGCCTCGTGGGGGAAGGGGCGGCAGGCGAGGCACCGGGCGTGTCACTGACCTCATGCTCCGCGTGTCCCAGCCTCGGACGGCGGTGTCGTTGGCCGTGGCCACCTGGGTGCAGTTGTGATGCGGGCTCCAGCGTCCCGAGGTGAACCTCAGCTGCCCCTTGCCTTCCAGCGACGCCGAGCTGGCCAGCTGCGAGGGAAGGAGAGAAGGAAGTGCACCCGCAGGACACAGCGGGCATCACTGAGACCGTCGGGAGGGCGGCTGGGTTTCCGCCCTGAGCATGTGTGAGCCTTAACTGAGGAGAACTGTAAGCCCAGCACAGCAAAAATAGACAGCGCATTAATAACCGCCAGGAACAGGCTGCAAGGGTGTGATGAGAGATCTGCTCCCACGTGAAAGGACAACAGGAAATAAGAAACATCTGGCTGCCCCCAAAGGCAGAGCAAGTGGGTCCACAGGGTCCCCTCCAGGCAGAGGACACAGCTGGGCCTCATCACGTGTCTGAGTCGCCCCCCCCCAATCCCCACGTCTGTCACACGGAGGTGAATACACCCCAGCAGGTAATGACCTGCTCCTCAGATACCCACCTCCCGGAAGGGAGGGGCCAGGCTGGAGTCTGGGGAAGGGCTCCCTCCTCATCTCACTTCCGCCTGCCCACCAGGGATTTTGTGCCCAAACCCATCACACCGGCCACATCACTCTTCCCATCGGGGTTGAGTGCCTGTCCACTCAGTGACTGCTGAAGGCGGGGAGAGCGTGTGGCCAGCGTCTCTGCCACCTGTCCCCCCAGCACACAGCCCTGTCACTCCATCACTTGGACACAGGCCTCGAATAGGAGCACGCTGACAGGGGACCCAGGGCAGGCTGCAGATTCGGACAGAGGCCGAAGGAGACCGACGCTGTCGCCAGGGCTGTGTGTGTCCTGTGACTCCCGGGTCACAGCCCCCCTAGTGGTCATCGGGGGCTCATAGCTCAGTGCAGGGCAAGCGTCCAGACGGGAGACAGACAGGCCTGCGACACCCCAAGGAGCGAGGGGCAGTGCAGGGGACTGGACTAGAAACAGGGAGACCCGTCTCCTCTCTCGGGCAGTGGCAACACGTTCGGACAGGACGTCGGGACGACTCCTTCACTCTGTGACCGCTCAGTGGCCGCCCGCCTGTACCCACTGCCCGCCCAGCAGAGCCTGGCCTCTCCTGTGAGCCTGTCCAAGCTCCCCTCCCGCTCGCACTCAGCACCCCAGGCAGACCCCCTGGGCTCCTGCTGAGGGCGGCCCCCCCTCCAGCCACGCGCCCAGCACAGCTCCTGGCCAAGCCCGGCCGGGGTCAGCTGCAGGTGACGGGCTCCTGAACCCCAGCCCCTCCCCCCCCCGGGGCACGGTTTCAACTGGGAACCGTCTAAAAGCACTAGTGCCCTTGGCACCCACTCTCCTCCCTCAAAGAGGCGTGCCTGCAGGTGCTGTGGCTCAGTGGTCAGCTTTGACCTATGAACCAGGAGGTCACAGTTCGATTCCCGGTCAGGGCACATGCCCTTCCTCTCCGAAATCAATGAAAATACTTTTTTAAAAAGGCGTTCCCGCCTCAGGCCTAGCACCGCGCAGGCGACCGGCTGGGTTCCTCTGCGGAGCTCCAGGTGGGTGTGTGGCCGGGAGGCGCCGAGGCTCGCGGCACCTTGTGCCTCCGGCTCTGCCGCTCTCCGCACCCGGAAAGGAGCTATTTATCTCCAGAGCCAGTGAAGGCTGCTGGAGCCCAGAGATGAATGAGCACAGATCACAATGGGGGGGCACCCCCTCTGCCTTCACCGGGGCCGGGACCCCGCGGACCCGCCCCCAGGCCTCCCCTGGGCTCTCGCTAATGATTATAAATGGCAGGGAACCTCCCGTTTAATTGCAAAGGGTAATGATGCAGCCAGCCTGAGATGAGACTCTCCACGCGGGGCAAGATCCTCCAACAATAAAAAAAATGGAGGAGCTGGGTGTGAAGACGCGATCGATGGGGGCTCAGTATTAAATGCCACGGCCCAGGGTCACAAAGTGAGGCTGACAGAGTGCTGACGCTGACAAAAGAGGGGCCGAGAGGACTAAATTGGTCTCTGCAGAAAATAAGTTACAGGTTAATCGCCCACCGCAGAGCGCTCTGCGAGGATGGGGCCTGGAGCTGTGTGCAGTGGGGCCACAGGCCGCGGCAGGACTGGGGGCCTGAGCCCTAAAGCGTGCGACTCCGCCACTGGCCTCTGGGCTCCTCCTGCCGGGGGGCTCCTCTCAGGGGCTGCACCCACACCTGCCAGACCAGCAGCGAGCTCGGCACCCGCCGCCCCAC